GACGGGCTACTAGAGCCCGTGTCAGACTGGGGTATCGGAGATTGAGGATTGAGGATTGCGAATTAGATTAGAATGCGAATCAACCAACTCCGATCTCGATTCCGAATTCTGTGCTGAGTCGAGTCCTTCAATAGGCCGGTAATCCTCAATCTCCAAGCACCTGGTCTGGTACGACCTCGACGCGAACACGACGCATCTCGAAGAAGGTAGCAATAAAACGCTCAGGTGCCATGAAGGTGGTCGCGCGACACATCGGAGAGAGATTCTGCAGTCGCGACTGCGATACTCAACGGCGAAGTTACACACGCGCGTGTATGACGTTGGACGAGTACTCGATTGAAGCATCTGATTCGAAAACATACCCTTCGCGTCGTTCTAATCGTGCGAGAGACACGGTCCCAAAAGCACAAAGAGGCCAATGTGTCGCGAGACCTCGCTCATAGGAACGCCGATGTTCTCTCTTTTCACTTGGTACTGTATTTCTCGTACTTGTATTAAACACGCCTAGCTTTGTTTAACAAGGTGATACAGAATAGCTAAAGGTCTGTTTAAGCATACAAGCTCTGCGACACTGTTATAAGGACCGATATACCGCTGGAAATTATCTACCTACGAGGTTCTGTGCACGGGTGTAAGGATACCAGGATATACCGGCGATACCGAGACGAGCCACGCTCAGGCAGCAACAGCGACGCTCTTCGCGCGACTTCGTCAGAGATCTATCCCGAAGAACGGAAGGGAACCGCACATTCGTGCGAGAATCCGCCGCTTTGTTCGCGTCTAGAATAGATTTCTGACTCGTCATTCGCCATCTTTTATCGCGCGCACATTACTTCTCTCTTGACATACCCACTGATGAGAGACCCGCGTGTACTTTCTCTCTCTCTCTCTCTCTCTCTCGTTTTTCTCTCTGACCGATCTCTCTTTGCGTCGTGAACAGTCGTTCGGCGACTTGAATTCGTTATTATTGTCTCGGCGAGAAACGTGAAGCGCGAGACCACGCGATGTATTGAATGAGAGACGCGCTACGAGATCTTCGCGCGCGATCACCACAACCCTGTAACGAAACAGATTCTCCGGCTGAAAGTATCGCGTTTGCCGTGAGTCTTATCGAGACGAATCGCGGCCACGCTCGCGATAAACCCGATCAGTCGCTCGATGAGCGTAGATTTGCTATGATCACGAAACGTGATCGAGCGCGCGAACGCTTAATCGACCATCGTCAATCGTTCGGATGAAGACATCTCGAACTGTCACCAAAAGTTCTTCCTTTTTCTCCTCTGCTTCCTTTCTTTCACTTTTATCCGCGACTGCTCAGACCGCTGACGCTGCGCGATCGAACGTTTCCCCGCGACTAAATGAGAGTCGGCTCTGCGCGCGCGCGCGCGCGTTTCTTTTGATCGTTCGCAGAGAGATCGTTAAGACTAAGATGAAAAAGACGATCGCATTACTGTGGAAGTAGAAGTCTGATCGTGCCTTCTGCGTGTATACGTGTTTTTTATTAGTCTTATCTCACAAAAACATCAATCCGCACGCGACCCATGCAGACCCTCGTGGTCGTCTGGCGTGCGGACACGCAAGTATCGATTGTAATTATCGTTATAATATTACGACCACTATGTGTATGTGTCAGTGTATATGTGTGTATGTACGTGTGTTGTATAGATTTACCAGTTACTTTTTATAGCGATGATCAATTATACAATAACTCCGCGAAGTTCACCCTGCCGATGCTCCAAACGAGCGAGTCTCCTCCCATCCACGATTCTTCGGCTGCGAATTGTTCTTTTCATGAAAAAGACCGCAAGAGAGATATTCGAAGCATGCCACAAGATTATGGACGTGCACTCGTAATGCGACCTATCGTAAAGAATGATAAACACACGATTTACGACCATTTCCTCTTTCGCGTCTAAACGCTTCATCACGCGTACTTGTAATCCACACGAATTTCTCTCGCACTCCTACATACATACACACACACATTCTCTTTCTCTCTTGATAGAATGGCCGATTAGTCTACGAGAAAAAAAAATTACATCAAAATAGCTAAAAAATGATGTTTCAAGCATTAATCAGATGTAATTCATAATAATGTAATATTATTATTCTATAATTATATATCTATATATATATATTTTTATAAAAAAAAGATTGTTTTGCTATAGTGCACAAACGACCACGTCCTCCGAGTCCGATAAAAAAACGCTCGTCCAAACGCAACTATCCGAACATAACTGCTTACTTATGTGTCGACAGATAACGAGAGTTCCCGAGAGAATCTGACAGGTGATCACCACATTGCGCTGTAGCTCTTTTGTAGTAGGTTGATCAATCGGTCAGTCTTTTGCATGATTTCATTTATTCTGGATCTCGGAGAGCATGTCGTGATAATATTATGTATATATAAATATATATATATATATATATGTATATATATGTATACGCGTATATATATATATATATATATACACGTGTGTACAAACATATATATATATACACATACACACACACATACATACATACATACATATATATATGGGTCCTAAGCTTAATATTGGATCAAGGGACTTGATTGTTCGAAAAAACGCAAAAGTCTATTCTAGACTCACCAACAACTCCCTCTTCTCCCTTAGCTTAAAGATAATATCGAAAAAACAAATAAAGATTCTACAAAACCTTTTCCTCGGCACGGTGATTCTCCGGTAAAAGTGAACGGACACATGGGTGAGTTGCGGCACCACCACCTGGCACGCACAATTATCCTTCTCATTCTCGCGACAGTCTGCAACAATGACCGATCGGATCGATCGATCGATCGATCGATCGAGTGAACGAAAGAGAGGCGATACCAATGCCATGAGAGATGTCTCATCGGTCGTGCGTCAACTCGCCCATTTATACAATCAATATCCTCACTTTCCGGCCTCCACGATTGTACGATCATCTAGTAACAAAATTGACGAGTCAATCCTTCGCCAAGTCTTGATCCGTATATCGCTACCCTGGCGTCCGTTGCGCACCTGATACGTCCGTATTAACACGAATGTCTCCATTGTAGGTGATGCGATGTGATGTGCGTGTATTGTGTGCATGTGTCGTGTACATGTACGTAGTGTAGTGTCTCTCCCTGTAACATCGTGCCATCGTGCTCTCGCTTTCTCTCTCTCTCTCCCTCTCTTTCTCTCCTTTTGTTTCTCATTCCAACCGTATCGCTTAATACGGGTTGTACTTGGTACGCTCAGACTTGAACTTGCCGCTGTCGGTCGGGCCGGGCGCAC